AGCGAATCTGCCTTTCCTGCTTCAAACCACAAGCTTTCTAGGCTGATTGCTTTCACTATTTCCTCAATTGTAATCATTTTATAAGCTTCTAGACTCTTATAATATGGTAAACATAGTAAAAAGGCTGAGTACTGACAAGGTGTGGCGTGAAAATCTCACATATTCTGAGCCACATGAAAGACAGGGATATCAAAAATATCTCAGAACATTTTTACTATAAAAGTACTCTGCTTGTTTTCCCAATGTAAAACTACTTAAGTTATAAAAAAAGAAAAAGAAAGAAAAAAATGAAAACTAACCATTATTAATATTATGCAACTGTCACAATTAGGTATAAATAATTTAAAAAATACAATCTGTGCATAATGGCTTATAGAAGCCTCTATTTAAGCCTCTTTTATTTAAACTAAATAAATTCCATCTATATATTATAGATTAGGAGCTACCTGGGAAGTTCTTTGTTATTAAAATTCACTACATCTCCATGACAATCCACATAATAATGAATATACTCAGCACCCTGATTTTGGTCTCAAACTACCATTTCCCACTAAATGGATCCAGAAAACTTTGGGGGAATGGCTAATTTCAAGAAACATGAAAATGTGGTTATTAAGTTAAAGTAACTTACGTTTAACAGAGTTGGGGCCGTAGTCTAGTGGTTAAGGTAGGCAAATCCCACATGGCCAGGGTTGAGTCTTGCCCTGCCAGCTTGAAAAACATGCTGTTAGTGCCCAAGATCCTGACCCATGGAGAAATGGAGAAGGGAGTGTGATGTGACCATGTCCCGCTGGGAAGCACTTTCTCCCTCCCCACTTTTCTGTCTGTCTCTGCCTGGCAAGTGGATATGCCAAAGTTTTCTAGCCCTCTGAGCAATTTTAGAAACATAGAAAATTCTGTTTCTCAGCAGCCCTAGCCACAATGGCCTCAGTAGTGGCCATCCTGCGGGACAGCAGCACATCGAACATTTTCATCACTGCATAAGTTCCATTAGATTGCACTGGTATAGAGATTAAGGAGATTTAAGAAACTTAACCAAACCTGAAGTGTGAAACGGTTTCAGTTTTGATCAAACTGTGGTGTGGTGGTTAAAGGAGCTAAGTCCCACATGGCTGACTACACAGTTGGAATCCTGGACCCAGTAGCTTGAGACATGTGTGCATGTGTGCCCAAAATCCCCAAAGAAGAGAGAAATGAAGAAGGGATTGTGGTGTGACCATTCCCCATGGGGGTGGGGTGCTTCCTCTCTCTCTTTCTCTGTCTCTCTCCAACAAGTGCACGTGTGCTCTAGCAAAATTGAGAAAAAAGATCCTTTTTGGATTAATGGGAAAACTTTAAAATATTCTGAGAACCAGAATATTAAGGATTTATGTTTTTAACGATTTATTTAATTTTATTACTACTACAAGTATTAGCATTTAACTTGCTATAGGGCATATGTGCTCACCAGAGAAAGAGAAAGGCATCAAGCTGCCAGGTCCAGGACTCGAACTATGGTCGAATGTGGGAGTCTAGCACCCCCAACCACCATGCCACCTGCTGGCCTTAGAAATCATGTATTCTATGATCTCAGAAGCCAGATCTTCATGTCACAAAACAAAGGAGATTCTTGGAAGATAGCACTCATTCATTTTTTTTTCTCCAAATGAATCAGCTGCCTATCATGGAAGATTATTAAAGTATATTTCATCATTGTAACTCAATAAACCTTTACAGTATAAATAGGAGAATTGATTCTCCATTTTATCTTTTATGTTCCAATCTTCAGTTTGGGGGAATTGGCAACTATTACCTTTCCACAATAGCAATATATGACTTAACCTCAGCACTTGGATATTCGACTCTGTAGAGTACCAAATATGATTGATTTATACTAGAAAATACTGATTAATAAAATAGAGCTACTACTTGAATTTAACCAGTATTTCCATTAAGTAAAATACAAACACATTGACAAATTTCCATACTATTTTTTTTAACATAATGGCATTAAAAACTTTACAGTAAAAAAGTAGACAACCTATTTTTTATAAATACTGACATTTTGGCCAACTTTTAAAAAAATTTGCCCTGAGGCACATGCACCTGCCAGAGAGACAGAAAGTGAGAAAGCACCCTCTCCCACGGGAGATGGACACACTACAAATCCTTCTCCATTTTTCCATCCTTTCAGGATTTGGGGCATGCACACACATGCCTGGCATACTTTCCAAGCTGCTGGATCTGGGGACTCTAACTGTGTGCTCAGCAGTGTGCACTCCAGCTGCCCTAACTACCATGCCACCAGGTGGCCTCCAACTTCTTTTCTTCCTCCTCCCTTTTTTTTTTTTTTTTTTTTTTTTGGAGAGGCTTATTCTTTAGAACATGTGTGCTTGCCAGAGAGAAAGACAGAGACAGTGAGAAGGAAAGTTAGAAATCACCCTCCCAGGGGGTATGGCCACGCCATAATCCCTTCTCCTCCATTCCCCTCCCAGGATATCTTGGGCACACTTGCATATGTGCCTGCTGTGAGTTTCAAGCCACGGGACTTGAACCACAATTGACCATGTGGGAGTTCAGTGATGTAACCTCTACAACAACTGCTGACCCCAACTTTTTTTCTTTTAGGCTTTTTTCTTTCTTCCATGAGTGAGGGAGACAGAGACAGGTACTCTGAATAGGACTTTCATGCCATGATCCACCCTCAAGCTTCAGTCAGCCGTGGATCATAGCATGTGCATGACTGGCATGTTGAAGGAGCTCTCTGAACTGAACCCAGAACCTTTCCATGTGGGTCAGCCTCAGTGCAGCATTACTGCTGCATTACTATCTAGCCACCACATTCAGTCCTAAATTGTTTTGGCTGCTCTATTTGATAAGCCCAAAAGCTATTAGGATTCAATTTTAGGAAAATAAATAGCCAGTGTTTTTAACTTACATAATGATAACTGTTTCCAAATATATTCACGTTTGCTCTTTGAAATTCATAATTTCCCATAAATAGTAAGGTAGGTTACAAAATATACACAAACCTTAATCTAACTTAAGTACTGATAGCAGTAATCGAATGCTACATTCTGGAAATCAAGAGTCAAATAACTTAGGAGGGAAAAGACAAAGAAATGCAAAGAAATGGTTTCTTTTCTGGACCCAGGATCCACCGTAGGTAAAATTTTGAAATGGCTGCCCTTCACTTTGGTGTTTGTCTTACCCCTTTGTGTATGCATCTATGCCTAGGTGGAGTTTGTTCCCTTCTTCATGTCCCAGTTCTTTGTGGAACTGTGACTCCTCTTCACATGGTGGCTACTCAGGGCCAACTGATTCAGGAACTTCCCCAAATTCACCTAAGTACTGACTTCCCCGCTCCCACACTCCAGTCCACAACCATCTTTCACCAAAAGAACCAGTACCAGACAGAGACCAGGAGGGAAACAATGTGATTAATGACAAAGTGTGCCAACCAACCCTTACAGCTGAATTTGTATTACTTTAAAAATAATAGTAAGTATCACAAATACTTGAAAAGGGGAAAGTTTAAGAGTCATAATCTGGAGCAAACATGTGAATAGGGCATATTGCTGGCCCAGCCAGTGATGCAAGCAAAAAGCACTGCCGTGTGATAGCTGGGGCTGCATGGGAGGCCTGGGTTTAGTTCCCAGACCAAGCTGAACAGTCTGGGATGGTGATACATCCCTGTAGTCCTAGCTCATTTGAAGGTTGAAGCAGGAAGATTGCAACATGGTAAAATCCTTCTGAAAATACCAATCTTTCTTCCTTCCATGTGTGTTCTCTCTTGAAGAAGGAGGAGGAGAGGAGGAGGAGAAGAGAAGGAGGCAGAAGAGGAAGAAGAGGAAGAGGAAGGAGGGGGAGAGGACAAAGAGGAAGAAGAAGAAAAAGGAGGAGGAGAGGAGAAGAAAAAAAAAGATGGCTCATCTTAATGGTGGGAAAGCCCTCTGAGGGAAGGAATAGTTCTTGAAGCCTTCTATTATGATGCCTTTGAGCTTACAGCATCAGTACATCTCACCTCTGAATCCAGATTCCGCTGCTCCAGGTTTTACAAAGTTTCCCTCCAAGTAACAGAGTGGGTAGAGGGGAGGGCTCAGCAGGTGGCTAGGTATTGGACTATTAATATTGGGAACTGCTTTAAATAATTCAGGGGGAGGCAAATTTGCATTCTTATTTACATTTGGCACAGGATTCATTTGGAATTTGTTATATTTCATCAACACACACCTACTTCAGGGTTACAGAGGAAATCTCTTTTGATATTAAAACATGACTGCAGATGGTCAAGTACAGATTAGCCACACGACTTTCACAGTTGACTTTCTTACTCTGATAGTCAAATATGTTACAACTGTTTCCATCTAGCTAATTTTAAACTTCATTTAAATTCCAAATAGTCTGTGAGCTTCGGTTGCTTAAAAAGCATAAAAAATAAAAATTGTGGAGCAAAAAGTAAACTACATAGATATACTTCTCTAAAATATTTAAAAGCAGAAGATATCGACAGATGTGTAAAGATGATCTTGGTCTCGGTCACGGTAAGACATATTTCACTTCACTATGCTTTGGGAACCTGCTCGCATGAAAATTTCTGGCATGGCTAATATGAGTAGCAACAAAGAAATATAGCAGCTTTTTTAGACATAAAAAATCATTTAAAAGCATCACTCTTCTGTCTAAAATGTTAATACACACACGCACACACACACACACACACACACACACACAAATGCTGTAAGATGGCAGTTTTTCAGTGAATGAATTTTAAGATACCAATGTTGTCAGAATAATTACCTGCAAGGGACTCGCCAGAGATCTGTTTTTAGGTACTGTAAAAGCTTTGAGAACATTGTCTTCATCTTCTGATACTGGTGTCATTAAAACAGAACTTGTAAGAATATTCTAAAGGGAAAGTTTTTTATTTGAAATTTAAATGAGGTTGAATAATACGAGAGCAAATACAATTGTAACGCAGTAGAGAGCAGATTACTACGAAATGGTACACATTAGCATGAAAAAATGGATGTGTCTGCCAGAAATTCTCTTCCCTGGGAGCTAAATGGAGAACTCAGCTATGTATTAACCCTAATCTCATGTGGCAAACGTCACCCAAATGAAAAGGTGGGGGCCCCACACAGTTCTAGGCACGTGGAAGGCACACACAGAACATCTACTAACATACATGCTTTTTCCTTTCCTTTTCTTTTCTTTTTCTTAAAAAGGACTTACTGGGGCCTGGTGGTTGTGGAGCAGTGACACAACTGGACCTACATGAAAAAGGTTCCGAGTTCATATCCCATGACCTCCCTGAACACACTGGGTATATATGTGCCCATGTCCAGGCCAACTGAGACTAAGGGGTAGACAGTGTTGTGAAGATCCTGTTTGAGTGACTCTCACATATGGAATAAATAAATAAATAAACTTTAAGACATTAAAAAGAGGGCCAGCAGGGAGCATGGAGGTTGAGGTGCTTGATCCTACATGACTGACTGCACAGTTCAAGTCCCAGAACAGGTGGCTTAAAAATCATGCCTGGTACATGTGTATGTATGTCCAAAATCCTGAGAAGACTGGAAGAGAAGGAACCTTGGCATGGCCATTCATGTTCTCCCTCTCTCTATCTGGTAATGAAAAAAAAAAAGAAAAGAAAAGAAAAGAAAAGAAATAAAGGATTTACTAAGCTCTAGGAAGATAACTATTTAAAAAATTAGTAGAGAACTATTTTAGAGCTAACAAACTAATGGCAGTACAGTACAATGGGGAACAGTTTGAACCAGCCTTCTTGAGTTCTAACCTCACACCACCACTCATTAAGGCTATGACTGTGAGCAAATGACTAAACCTCCCTGTGCTTCGGCTTCCCAGTTGGTATAATGAAAGTGGTAATATTAGCAATCGTATATGATTGGTACGAGTATTAAATGAATTAATTTATCTAAAGCCCTTAGGGCAATATTTACCATACTTAGTACATGCTAAATAAATTCTAGTGGTTGTTTCTAGCACTGATTCTCTATAAGACATAGGGGCAACCATTTATAAATTACAAACTTTAAAGGTGGTAGTGGTGACTGGGCTACCCATGGCTTGGTAGTTAAGGCGTCTCGTTCTCACAAGTCTGATGCACTGTTCCAAGAGCTTGAAAAACACACTAGGCACGTGTGTATGCCTGAAAGGAGGGAGAAATGGAGAAGAGACTGTGGTGTGACCATGCCCCATGTGGGGGTGGGGGATCCCTTCCCTTCTCCCTCTCTCTGTCTTTCTTTGGTAAGTGCATGCACCCGCTGGCAAATTTAAAAAAAAAAAATGATGGTATCCAGAGAAATGGAATATTGAGTACAAAGTGGATGTCTACCAGAGACAGCATGATTGGCACAATGTTAGATGTTACATCAAACCAAATAAAACACACCTAACAAAAAGGGAATACTATATTAGGACAGCACATACATTAAAGGAAAACACAAAAATTAACATTGTTTTCCTGAAAATACCCATGCAGCAGATTTTTAAGTGGCAAGGACATTAAAATCCAGGAAAATTGGAGCCAGCAGGTGGTGTGGTAGTTAAGGCAGCTGGACACCCACATGGATGACTGCTATTTCAAGTCCCAGATCTGGCAGCTTGCTTTCTCACTTTTCTTCTCCCTCTCTCTGGCCAACTTCAAAACAAATAAGTAAATAAATAAATAATAAATAAAAAAAGAATGACAATGAATAAAAGATTAAATAATTCTTTTTTTAAAAAAATAAGAAAATAAGTAATGAAAAAGTCTGCAATAGAATAGAATGTGTTTCCAATACATAGACAAAATTCCAACTTTACATTGTATCAATACATTAATAGCCATTGAGAAAAGTCACTGAAGAAATAAGTTAGAAATAAGAGGCTTAAAGAGCAAGTGCTGAAATGACAGTGGCTCCATATACCAAACACAGGATTTTGTGAGGCACAAATGTCACAGAGTAAGTTGGGAGTCCGTGCATATGTACTTACTGGCGTATCCGCCACCGGCGATACCTGCGTGAACAGCTGAGTATTCAGACTGTCCCCTTCCCAGTGGTTTGAGCAGAAAAAGTTCCCAGCTTTATCCGTTGGAGATTCCACCTACAGGTAAACAAGAGATGCTGTGTTGTTTCTCTCACTGGAACATCACCTGAAACATCTACACTCCAGAGTAAATTTCTGGCCATTCTCTCAAACGCTCATCCTTATATGAAAATAAATTCAGGAGGCACTGGACCGAACCTGTTGGAAATGCCTCTTGCCAACAAGCTAAAACTTTAATCCTTACCTGTTAGATTCCCTTTCTTTTATACCATGAGTTAAAGATATTACTCTTGTAAATTACATTCCAATTCTCCATGACATTTGATTGAAAATGAAATATTTTTCAATCTATCATCTATCCATCTAAGATCACTGATAAAACACACACACACACACGCACACACACACACACACACACACACACACTAAACATCTGCTTCCTTCTTTCCTTAGTTCTATCAGGTATTATTTCATTTTGTTTTTGAAAGAGAGATTTTTTTGCTATAGGGCATGTGCACTTGCTGGAGAGACAGAGAGACAGAAAACGAGAAATCAACTGCCAGGGAGGATGGCCTGCAAACCCTTCTCCTCCATTCTCCTCTTGGGATCTTGGGCGTGCTGCACACGTGCCTGGCGTGCTTTAAGCAGCTGGGTCTGGAGCTTGAACCACGGTCAACTATGTGGGAGTCCAGCAATGTAACCATTACGTCATCTGCTGTTTCCCACTATTGGGTTTTCTACCCTAACACGAAGTAGATAGAAATGGCTGGCTTTCCCAAATGTAAGGTCGGATGCCTGCAGCCTGGCAGGCTCTTCTTATCTGCATCTCTCATGAAAACCTTGCATGAAAAGCTCTGCTACACGCGACACACCAATGCCAGGCACAGAAGCTGCACACACCAACCGAAGGAGTGGAAGTCACCGCTTGTTCCTTCCAAAGGAGCTCACGTTTACCTCTTGTTTAATTTTCTTCAGTAAAGGTGGTCCATTTTCTTGAAATTCAGCAACAATTCCAGATTCATCAGATTCTTGTTTGATCACATCCTGTAGGTCTTCTACTAGGTGAGAGGGTGTTTGAGGCTAAAGG